TCATTATTCTAATTGGGATGCCACCCGAGGCGGGGCGCTGGAATTATTTATTTTCCTTCCATTTGCGCGGTGCTAATAATATCGCTCGGCGACCCCCCCCCCAAATGATTATTTAATTACGGCGCGGTGCTAATGATAACGCCGGGGGTTCCTTAATTGCTTCTCCGGGTTATTTAGACGGCTCCGAACACCTCCTCCACCTCCTCCTCCTCACCTCCTCTTCCTCGTCTTCTTCAGTCGGAATGACTCACTCACACTCAGACCCACTAATGCTCAGTCATACCTAGACTCACTCACACTCAGACGCACTCACATTCAGACTCACTCATATTCTGACCCACTCACACGTAGACTCGTTCACAGTCAGACTACTCACGCTCAGACCCACTCATACTCAGACTCAGTACATGCAGACTCACTCACGCTCAGACTCCCTCACGCTTCGACTCACGAACTCACTCTCGGACTTAATCACATTCAGACTAACTCACGACCATAATCCTTCCATGATCAGACTCAGACTCACTCATACTCATTGGTGGTCCAATCCTCCCCGCAATAAAGCAGGCGTAGCGTTTGGGCACCCCAAGGAGGGGGCGCCAGGGGTCAGGGACTTGCGCCCAGATTGTGGGGATGTCTCCGGCGGCTTACCTGTTTGCATGCCCAGCACCCTCTGCTTTCGGAGCAGATTCTGAGGATGTCTCAGGCGAGGCGCTGGTTTCGGCACTTCTGAGAGGGGGGCGCCAGGGGCCAGGACATTCCAGGATCCGCCCCAGGAGGAGGAGGAGGAGGAGGAGGAGGAGGAGGACGAGGAGGAGGAGGAGGAGGAGGAGGAGGAGGAGGAGGAGGCAGACTGTGGGGATGTTTCAGGCTGCCTGTTTGCACGCCCGGCACCCTCGGCTCCTCGGAGCAGGTTTGCGTGGACGTCTCGGGCGCTCTGCCTGTTTCTGCCCCCCCCCCCCCCCACACACTCGTTTCCTTTGGCGGTCCAGTGCTCCCCGCGATGCAGCAGGCGTAGTATTAGGCCGGGCCTGTCCCTCTACAGGAGGAATGTTCGAGAATAGTAAAAAAATAGTCTGGGGACGATTCTTTGACTGCTTCTGCCCATTTGTTTTTTTTTGAGTACAGCCCCCTGTACAGTCGGGGCCTTGAAGAAGGAACCCTTTTCGTTGGGGAGGGGCTCCGCGTTCCTTAAGTGGTTCACAGCTTGCCTCAGGTCTTCCTTCTGTTTTCGATCGGAAATCGAAGTTCAACTGATGGAAAATAGGGGCCTCGTTCCTTATTTAGGGTTCCTTAGGTCAACGCCCCCCCTGCAGGGGGACACGCCCGACCTCAGCCTGGGGGGGGGGGCGCTCCAAGGGGGTTCGCGACGCGCCTGGCGGGGGACGTCCTCGGGCCGTCGGCCCGCCTCGC